TCTAAAAAAGTAAAAAAAAATATTTAAAATTTCAAAAATATTCACTAAAAACAAAAAGATATGAAAATCAAAATACTCAATTTTCAAAAAACTTAATCCAGAAAACTCAAACCAAACACATTGATTGATATTTTTAATTACACAAATGATATTATCACATCATTATGATGTAGTAAAACAACATTTTCTTTTTTCACATAAGTATTTTTCATAGGTGAAAAATCAAATAAATTTAACAAGTTATGTATATTTTTTAATTTTATAAAATTTTAAACTATTAATTAGATCTCATATACATATGAGATTAGATCATTTTCAGTTGGTGGTCTAGTGAGGCCCACCTCGAATAATCCTAATTGTTCATCTTGTATAACCCGCCAAACAGATTATTCATACTAAAAATAAGCTTAATTGGACAATGGAAACTACTTAATCGAATTATGTTTGTCTAAAAATAAATTAACTGGCAATATGATTTTAAATGTAGTTCATTTAGTTTTTTCGAGTAAATAAAATTCGATTAAGTGGCTACTGATATCCGACCAATTTAATTTTTTGAATAGATAATTTGTTTGACAATACTTAAAAAATGAACGATTTTAATCATTTATTAGATCGAACCCATATAGCAAACTAGACAATCCAATTACTTCTCTCTAATTAAATGAGAAGTCTTCTCCTCTACATACCACTAAAATAAAACCATCTTAATATTTAAATCTATAGAACTCTCACGTAATATGAAATAAAAATATAAAAATTCCATATAAAATATACATAATAAAATGAAATATTTTCTTAGATGCATTTGTGAATTAAATAAATAGTGAATCCGCGTTTGTATTCTAGTTATTTGTGTGTTGAGTTTGTTGGAAGATGAAAGAAAAAAATTCAAAGCACATATATATATATAATTTTATGTGAAAAAAATTTAAAATATTTTCAAAAACTTAGATTAAATTTTTTTTTTTATAAATTGAGGTGATCCTATAATGACTCCCCCAACATATATTTGGGAAGGGCTAATTTGGCTATTTTAGTCACAAAAAATAAAATAGGCTATTTTAGTCATAAAAAACAAAACATCACATCCAACTTATAATCATTACACTATTCTCTCACAAAAAAAGTCAAAAAAACTCTTCCCAAACTAAACTTTTTAGTCCAAACTAAAATAATCAAAAAAATTAAAAAACCAATCCGCTTCCCAAATCAACCCTGAGTGTCATGACAAGAATGATGTAGAGCAATTTTTTCAAAACCAACAAATAACCTTTTCACCATATCTCATTATGCAAAAGCAACAATGATTCATCCCCCATTTTTCCCCCATCCCCTTTGACCCCCTCTCTCTCTCATTGGTTACATTTTCTTTTTCTTTTTCTTTTTTTTCCTGCTCCTCCAATCACCACCCGCCACGTGGCAAAGGGGGGTGAGGGGGTGACTCCCAAAAGGGGGTCCCAAGCATTATTCATGCAAAAGAATGGTTGGGGACAAAAAGAGGGGAGGCTGGAGAGTGTTGTGCTGGGGGAGGTGGACTTGGAGGGGGGTTATAATGGTGAGAATTGTTTGATAGACTTAGCCTCCGTTTGGGAAGTGGGTTGGTTTTTTAGCTTTTTAGCTTTTTTGACTATTTTAGCCTGGGCTTAAAAGCTTGGTTTGGAAAGGGTTTTTTGACTTTTTGATTTTTTTGAGTTTTTTTGTGAGAGAAGAATGTAATGATTATAGGTTGTATGTGATGTTTTGTTTGTTATGGCTAAAATATCCTATTTTATTTTTTGTGGCTAAAATAGCCAAAAAAGCCTACAAACCCACTTGCCAAACACAGGCTTAGGGGTGTTTTGAGAAGTTGGTAAAAAGTTAGTTTTTGACTTTTTACCAAGTTTTTTAATTTTTTTGAAAGTGATTTGGGAAGTTGGTAAAAAATGACTTTTTTGATTTTTGATTTACTATTTTTTTAAAATGTCACATCACTCTAAAATGACCAAAATATCCTTACTTTTTGATTTTTAAATTAATTAATTAAATTATTTCAAAGGATAATTTGGTAAATTTGAGTGTTGCTTATTTGGTCTTCCTAAATGGGATTGAAAACGTAGTGGGTATGGGTTGGCGTTTCTGGGCTGTTGCCAAAACGTGGCGTTTTTGACTTGTTGCCAAAACGGCACTTAGAGTGGATGGAGTTTCAAGAGCAAGGTCGTACTATTGAATTGAGTTAGGGAGTGTGAAATAAAATATTTATAATAAATTATCAAATTGACACAATTGGTTGGGATGTAATCATAAATTTTGTCTATCAAGGTGTGTGCGTAAAAAAATTTAATTTTGATATATGACTAATTAAGATTCGGTGATATTACATGTACTCATTGATATATCAATTAATGTATCAATATATGTTATGATATTATTATTAACTCCACTCATTATATAAATTACAAATACTTATAATTTTTAAAATTATGTCACATCATCTATTAATACACTAATTGATATACTAATTGGTGCATATAAGATTAGTTTCTTATGAGTAGTGATTTAAAAAAAAATATATTAATACATATTAACTTTGTTAGATTTTGAGCCTATCTTTTTAGAACAAAGATCTTATTGATATTTTTAATTACACAAATGATATGATCACATCATTATGATGGAGTGAAACAACATTTTCTTTTTTCACATAAGTATTTGAAATTAGTATTTTTCATAGGTAAAAAATCAAATAAATCTAACAAGTTATGTATATTTTTTAATTTTCTATAATTTTAAACTATTAATTAGATCTCAGTATATAATTAATTATACCATTGTTTTAGCCATTTTGTTGGTTGACCTAATTTAGTAAATACAAATTTTCTTTGATTTGAGAAAGAAAAAAGAGAAAATAAGTGATATGTACCTGTTGTGTAAATAAAATTGACTTGATGAAATTGATATTATTAAGCATTCGTTTGGCAATGATTTTTTTAATTGATTTTTTGACTTTTTTAGTCTGGGACTTTTTTGTTCGTTTGGTATTCTTGATTGGCTTTTTTGGCTTTTCAACTTTGGAATAGTAGATTTTTTTTTGGTCCTTTTGTGATTTTTGTTCTTTTGTGATTTTTTGACTTTTTTTGTGTGTGATTATTTAGCCTGAAATGAAAACCAAACAACCCCTAACTAATATATAAATGAACTAGTTGAAAATCATCTCATTATACATTATAAAATACTAATTAAAATAAAGTGATCTTAATAAAATTAAGGAGGCGATCCATTATACATTTTATAAATACTTCAAAAACTTAGACGGCCATTGCTCTCACGATCCCTATATATTTTGTCTAGTCCCTATAGAATTCCACCTCCGCAGTTAAAAAACTAAAGAGATATTAATCCCTACAAAATATTTATTCCTCCTTCCTCACCTACGAACAAATAAAATTAAAAAAAAAAAAAAAAAAGTCTAACCTTTCCTCAACATTAAATAAATTTGGAAACATGATTAAAAATTAATTTTAATTTTTAACTTATTTTGAGTCATATAATTTTTCTATTTTTTTTACACATTTTTTTAAATTTTTTTTAAAAAAAATCTAAAAAACTAATTTTTAACCAATTGTAAACAAAAATCTCATAAAGGTGTGAACCTTGATACAAACTCAACCGATTCATGCTTGCAATTAAATCCAAATGCACAACCAATACACGCTCAACACATACTACCAAAAATTAAATAATTAAAAAAGAGAAAAAAAAAAACAGTACCTTTGAAGAACAAGACAAATCTTTAAATTATTGTTATTTTCTTTTTTGAAAAAACAAAACAATGGAAGGCAATAATGCATGAAACTGGCAAAGAAAAGTGCCAGACGTAAAGCATCAGGAGCCCGGATCCTCTCCTTGAGGAAGGTCCTTGAGTTCCTGCGGGCAACGGCTCAGACGAGCCGTTGGTCATTCAACGGGTGAGATTATTAATAAAAAAAAATTAAATTTTTTCGAGTTCCCGCCCAAACAAAACAACAACACAGCTCAGAGACATATTCACTCTCACTCTTCACTCTCTCAGTTTCACTCAGCCTTACAGTCAATCGTGGTCGTCCACCGAACCTACCCTCACCGGCGAACCGGCGACCAGTCCCAACGGCGACCCCACGACGACCACAGCTCCACCGCTTCAGCTTCTACGCTTCGTAATATGGAATAGTTAGTTTAGTGTATTATTAGGTATCATATACTCCTTTTAATAAGTGCCTCTACCTTACATAAACTGCTATTTCTTTAACCTTAAAACTACTGGTTTTTGACCCATGAGACTGCCAGTTAATAGAACACATTGTAAATTGGATAGAACAGGGTAATGTTGTGGGCCTTTTGTAGACATGGCAGTCTCATGGGTCATGTAATTATTAACTGGTGTGTAGATATGTTATATTGAATCTCATGAATAATTTTTGACCCATGAGACTGCTAGTTATGAATAACTGAAATGCTTGTGTTATTAACTGCTATTTCTATCTATATTCAGTAATTTTCCTTATATGACATATGGTCCTATCTATAAACTAGATAAACCAGATAAATTTCCTTAATTCGTTATGAATAATTCCTTATGAATAAACCAGATAAGCCAGTTATGAATAATTCAATTTCGTTAATTGGAGTAATTTTCCTTATATGACATATGGTCCTATCTATAAACTAGATAAACCAGATAAATTTCCTTAATTCCTTATGAATAATTCCTTATGAATAAACCAGATAAATAAACCAGATAATTCCTTATGAATAAACCAGCTAAGCCAGTTATGAATAATTCAATTTCCTTAATTCGAGTAATTTTCCTTATATGACATATGCTCCTATCTATAAACCAGATAAATGTTATCTATAAACCAATTTCAATTCATTTTCATCGCACTACAACCTAAGCAACCCTGCAATCTTATTAAGAAGCTCAACTATCATTAACTTAAGATTTTATTTATATGGGTTTTCAGTTGCATTTTGATATCGATATGGAACCTGAGAATGACTGTGATTGGAAGCCAAAATTGGGAATGATATTTGATTCTGAACAATGTGCGTATGAATTTTATAATACATATGGAGGAAGAATGGGGTTTAGCATAAGAAGAGATTATTGTAAGAAGGACAAGTTCACTAATCAACTTATTCATAGACTTTTGGTTTGCAACAAGGAGGGATTTCGAAAGGTTGACAAGCGAGACCCATTGTCAAAAAACTCTAGAGCTGAAACTAGGACTGGGTGTGAGGCTCGACTTTATATTAAATTACATGACGGTACTGGAAAATATGTTGTGACTGATTTCAAAGAAAAACACAACCATGATCTTGTATCACCCGAGTGTGCCCACATGTTGCCGTCACAAAGAAAGATATCCGCTACCCAAGCAATTCAGTTAGATTTAGAGGCACAATCTGGTCTTCGTTTGGGCCAGTCTTTTGAACTCATGGGTAGGGAAGCTGGTGGAAGGCAATGTCTTGGTTTTACGAAATTAGATTCTAAAAATTATTTGAGAACCAAAAGACAACAAAGTTTAGCATATGGGGAAGTAGGCAATGTGTAGCAATACTTTAAAGAAAAATCTTTGCAGAATCCTTCATTCTTCTATGCTGTTCAATTAGATAATGAGGAGCAAATAACCAATATGTTTTGGGCCGATGCACAAATGATAATGGATTATGCCCAATTTGGTGATGTTGTCACATTTGATACGACTTACAAGTTAAACAAAGAACATAGACCGTTCGCATCTTATGTGGGATTCAACTATCACAGGGAAACAGTTATATTTGGTGCAGCATTGTTGTATGATGAGACCGCCGAATCGTTTGTATGGTTGTTTGAAAACTTTCTAGAGGCTATGTCAAGGAAGGCACCGAAAACTTTGTTCATCGATCAAGATGTTGCAATGGCTAAAGCCATACCCATCGTTATGCCTGACACAAGTCACCGATTGTGTACTTGGCATTTGATGCAAAATGCATTAAAACATGTTAACTGTTTGTTCCAAGATAAGGAGGTGAAGGGTGTACTAGATAAATTCTTCTTTCACATTCTCATTAGTTTTTACGATATGTATGGCAGCTGTTCTTCCACAATTGCACATTCTCGGTTTTAATCTTATGTTGCTGTTGTCATTAGAAGAAGAAGCCATTTCTAAATCTACATAGACAATACAACACAAACGGTCAGCCCTCAAGAAACAAATTTAGTTTTGAAACCAACATTGTAGTGGGCTCATAAAAACCTATTCTATCTGTTATTCAGCATTGTAGTTCTACATACAAATTTATTAGGTCTCAAAGTGTTTAGTTGCACTGAATTCAGGAAAACAATGCTACAATTCTGGGCAGTAACACAAAAGTGCATTGGGATTTTAACTGTCTTAGCATTATTCCCACCTTAACGATGACCAGGGGACTGCTTTTAGCGTGATCCTAACAGGGGACTGCTTTTAGCGTGATCCTAATCTTATTCAAATTTGAATGCTATCATTTTATATGCAATGTTAGTGTTGTTAAGGTCTTCATTTTTGTTAAATTAGTAGTGTGTTTTTTGTCTCTACAAGTTGTCTGTACTATTGCATTTCCATCTTAGTGGCTTAATTTTCAGCCCCCAATCCAAGCAATCCTAGCTTTGCCTGTGACACTACTATCTTTTCTTAGTTACTCTCTCTCTCACTATACTATACAGATTCCCAATCCTCCACTACACTCTTTTAGATCTCTGTCTTCTCTCTTACTCTCTCTCACTGACTCCTCAATTCTCAAGTAATACCATTACACCATATTTTTTCTTGTTGTTTGAGCAATTGAGAAAGTCACCATCTCTCTCTCTTTCTGGTTCTAGTTTTTAATCTATACCCATAAAACTCAAAACCATGATTTACCCATTAGTTCCTAATGGAAACCCATTAACCCCAATAAACTTAGCAATCCAAAACTCCTCACAAAGATCATTTTTTTCTTTCTTTTCTCACAATCAAAACCCCAAAAACACCATCGACAAGCCCTTAAGACCCAAAACTTACCTCCTCAAACCCATCACAATAACTCCAAATCAAGTCCCTCCCAATAAAACCAAGAAAAATAGGTTTCATGAGGAGAGAAGAGGTTTTTCTCAAGTGGGTAGTCAGCAGATGTTGGTTTTGTGTGGATTTGGGTACTGGGTACAAGGTTTTAGGGGCTTCCCTTGGCTGGCTCTCAACTTCCACATGGCCCACAATCTCAATTTATATCCATCAACATTGCAGCTTGGAACACAAAATAAATCACATAGTATCTCAATAAGATCTACTTCAATAATATGGTATAGATGTCATATCAGTTAGTAAGAAAAATTAGCAATGTTTGGAACACAAAATAAATCACATAGTATCTCCATATACAATGGAAGGTCTTACCATTGATATCATACAATACCATGGTATATAAAAATTAGCAATGTTTGGAGTATATAAATCATGGTATACCTATTTCATGGTATATAAATCACATAGTATACAATGGAAGGTCTTACCATTGATATCATACAATACCATGGTATATAAAAATTAGCAATGTTTGGAGTATATAAATCATGGTATACCTATTTCTAATTTTTCTCACAATCTATTCGAAATCATGTATATTCTCACAATCTATTACTTAACAAAACATACAATGGGAGGTTGGCATTAAACCCAGTTGTGTGTTCTTGTTAGCCCACTCCAATCATGGTATACCTATTTCTGATTGTAAACAATATCAAGATTCATACAAGCTGTGAAAATCAAATCCTCATTCTAGACAGATTTAGGACATTAAAAGATCTGATAAGTTGGATCTTTTGCGCATTTTCAGATCAAAGAGCAATGCTGAATTGATTTCATGAATCTGTCTTGCTTGATAAACAGCCCACTAGTTGACCAATGTGATGCATATGGACAAAGATGGAAAAAAGAAGAAGAAGAAGAAGAAGAAGAAGAAGAAGAAGAAGAAAAAGAGGAAACCCAAATCAAAGTCCTAAATTTGTAGCCGTTGGAATCCCAAATGACAGCCCTAAATTTTTTCAGACGTTTCAAAATCCCAAATCAAAGCCCTAATTTTGAAATTCCAAATCTGAAAAGCCCTAAATTTTTTCAGAAATTCCAACTCTAAAAGCTCTACATTTTTTCAGACTCCTAACTTCTTAATTTCAGACGTTTGAAGACCAACCTGGTTCGTGATCTATGCCCAACTGATGGTGGTCGTCGCGGTGGAGTTCACGAAGCGTAGAGGCTGAAGCGGTGGAGCTGTGGTCGTCGTGGGGTCGCCGTTGGGACTGGTCGCCGGTTCGCCGGTGAGGGTAGGTTCGGTGGACGACCACGATCGACTGTAAGGCTGAGTGAAACTGAGAGAGTGAGAGTGAATATGTCTCTGAGCTGTGTTGTTGTTTTGTTTGGGCGGGAACTCGAAAAAATTTAATTTTTTTTTTTTTTTTTTAATAATCTCAGCCGTTGGATGACCAACGGCTCATCTGAGCCGTTGCCCGCAGGAACTCCAGGACCTTCCTCAAGGAGAGGATTCGGACTCAAGCATCGAGCATCAGGGCTCTCTATTGCACTTTTTTTTAAAGGGCAAATTACAAACACTTTGGTGAAAATACAGATTTTTTTTGAGATTTGAAAAATTACATCTCGCCCTTTGAGGTTTATATTTTCATAACAAATTACCTCTTAAAGTTTTTATTTTCATACAAATTCCCCCTAATTTGTTATAAAAATTCCCCCTAATTTCATACAGATTCCCGCCCGCCATCTGCATCCTTGTCTTCCATTGCTTAGATTTTTTCTTCCTCAAGAAGTGGAGAAAAGGGGCGAATTTTTCTTTTTATCTCAATCTTATTTCTTAAATCCTTTATTTTTATTCATAATGTACCACCATCTCTTGTTTTTATTAATGAGCAAATTACATAAATAGTCTCTATAGTTTGAGACTCGTATTATTTTGGCCTATGATTTTTCAATTGTGGCATATTTGACCTTGAATTTTAAATCTTGTTTCAAATAAGGACAATTGAAGATACCATTGTTTAATTATAAGAGCAAAATCGTCAATTTAATAAAATATAAACTAATTTGACAAAAATAAATGTCAAAAAATATTTTTAATTTTTTAAAAATTATTCTTATGCACCAATGATAAAATTATGTAAAATTAATAAAAATTACATGATTAATTTTTTAAAATTAATTTTATATGATCATCATCTAAAAACATAATAAAAATTAATTTGGTAAAAAAAATAAATAAATGTTTAAAAGATTTATCAATTTTACATAATTTTATTTTTAGTAGGTAGAAATAATTTTTAAAGGGCAAATTACATATACCTCCCTTGTGGTTTGGTTAAATTACAGATATCTCCTGAGGTTTCGGAAATTACATCCCGCCTCCTAAAGTTTGTATTTTCATAACAATTTGCCCCTTGAAGTTTAAATTTCATAACAAATTACCCCATAATTTGTTATGCAAATATAGCATTCAAGGAGAAATTTGTAATTTCTCAAACTTCAGGGGGTATTTGTAGTTTAGCCAAACCTCGAGAGGTATATGTAATTTGCCCTTTTTAAAAATTTAAAAATATTTGTTTGACATTTATTTTTGTCAAATTAGTTTATATTTTATTAAATTAACGATTTTATCCTTCAAAAATCTAATGATAGATTTAATTGTCCTTATTTGAAACAAGATTCAAAATTCAGGATTAAATGTGTCACAATTGAAAAGTTAAGAACCAAACTAACACAAATCCCAAATTATAAAAACTATTAATATAATTCACCCTTTATTAATATTATTATTTTAAATTTGTCAAATTAACCTGTATCACACCACCTCTATCGCTCCCCAATATGTCCCACTTATTATATGATTTGGAATCGGATATGTTCATCTGTACCCGCTTTGTTGACATTAGCATTGAATGACAGGGTATCTACCTCCAACTTTATTTAACAAATCAAATTATTTATTTTGTAAAGCCTATTAAGGTGGTGTTTGGCAAGTTGGGTTGGGGCTAAAATAGTCACAAAAGACAAAACAGGCTATTTTAGTCACAACAAACAAAACATCACATCCAACCCATAATCATTACACTCTTCTCTCACAAAAAAAGTCAAAAAAGCCAAAAAGCCCTTCCCAAACCAAGCTTTTTAGCCCAGGCTAAAATAGCCAAAAAAGCCAAAAAGTCAAAAAGCCAACCCACTTCCCAAACGGAGGAAGAATATTATTCATATAAAATAATAAACTCATTAGATATTAACAGTCACATGATCAGATTAAGTTTTTTGAATAATTTATTCACAAAATCACATTTCTCATCCATATTTTTCAAAACAAAATTATCTACTCATATAAATATTAATATTTAATTAATTTAATTTTTATAATAATAACTTTTTTACAAATTTTATAAAATAAATAATTTAGGTAATTGAAAAAATGTTCATAATGGGGCGGCCCAAAAGGGCTTTAGACAGAGGGGGACCCCATGGAAGGGACGAAGCATGTTACGGCCACAAAGGACAAAAAGAATCTCTTGAAATGGCAGAAAAGGGTCTGGGGAATAGCGAGACCTGTGTTGCGTTCTTGTCTCTCAAATACGAAAGTGGTGATTTGGGAACCAAATTAAAGCTGCGTTTTGTAGCTCAAAAAACGCAGTCTCCAGCAGTTAAAAACGTCATATTGGCTTCATTTGGAAAGATCATAAAAAATAGGTTGTGAAATTATAAGACTACCCTCCATGTTTATAATTTAAGGATAAATTTCTTAGGGTCATTTTGGAAAAAATGATAAAAAGTTAATTTTTTGATTTTTTAACTTTTTTTTAATTAAAAAAGTCAGTTTTTTTATTCAAAATAATTCAATTTTTTGTAAAAAAAGTCAAAAAATTAATTTTTTTACTAACTTTCCAAAATACGTCTTAATTTGGATGAGAATATTTTACTTATTTTATTATAATGTGATATCATAAATAAATATTAACTCAAAAAGTTAAAAAATATTTTTTTTATCAACTTCTCAAATCAATTTTAAAAAAAAATCAAAAAATTTAGTCAGAAATTGAAAACCAACTTATAACTATCTTTTCAAAATA